AACCTGCCCCAGCTTGGGGTAGATTATCAGCTTTGGCTCATAGGTGGCTGCCCATGGACACAGTTGTTAGTCGCTCCACAAGGATGCTGAGACACATTTATATAGAAAGCCCTGCTTTTGAGACTTAACAGAGTTTAGCCGGGTGTCATTGAGCTATTTATACCTCGGCCGACTGGTGGATGCCGTACAGATCCAGAGAAATGCCGGTCAGGAAAGGGTCTCAATATAGGCTCATTTTCCCCCGGACAGCTGTGCCCGTGTGTGTGTGCGCGTTAACGATAACGAAGCGGAAAAACAGCGTTTAGGGTTTGGCCGAGGATAACTGCCGTTTCCCTGGAATGTTAAGGTGGATAGTGGTGTGTGTGTGTGTGTGTGTGCGTGTGTGCAGCCAGTCCCCTTTGAACATGTACAGGCACATCCATCGTGATTTTGGATATAAGCTGTATCCTTTCTTGGCTTGACCCGTGCGAATATCGGTGAATATTTCACAACTGTCAAATGCTCGGTGAGACCTTGCTGACCAAGGCTTCGCCGCCGCCTTACCAGCCAGGAAATGCCGGTGACCTTGCTACCGCTCAACAACCGATGGTGATCCCCTCTCTCTCTCGCTCACGCTTAATATCGCTGATCGTCAGAGATGGATAGTAATCGAATAACCAAATCTCAAATCTAAACCAATACGGTAACATGCAAGTGCTTCTTTAACCAAAAATGTTAAATTAGCTACTTTGCATCAAAGCTGTAAGTTTGTGATTAAATTGGACTGTATGCGCAAGGCCGCTGTTTCACACCTAATGCTGCTAAAGCACTGTGTTCCACCTCTGGAACACCAGACATTCGTTCGCTGCGTTTCCCCCTTGGAGTGAGGGTAGTGGTTGCCATGGTAACCGCTCTCGTGATGCCAGTCCGCTAGTCTGGGGATGCAGTCACTCAGGTCATTAATGATTTTAATCATGCGGTCAAGGTCACAGCGTGCTATTGAATGTGATGTAGGTGTCTGCCATACCAAAGTCATCAGGATGATTTATTACATTGTCCCTTAAGGCTGGCAGTCAAAATTCTCAGTTTTAGTCCTTTGTGGTGTCTTGCCACATTCTGGCTACTGTTACTTACTGTAGACCATCTGAATGACTGCAGACCACTGCAGACACCTAGAATATGACCAAAACATTTTCACATTCTCCTGCAGTCCAGTGAACCACATCTGTGGGAGACGTAATAACTCGAGGGTTTGCTTACTTCTTGTTGTTTTCGAAAGCATTTTGTTTCTGTAGTGACTCGGTGTCGAAAGTTTAATGTGACTCCCAGAGCATTGTGTAATCCTCCGAGCAGCTGCTAAAAAACAGCGATAGGTGCCAGCCTTCTAGTCCGTAAACTTACAGCTCGCTGCATTGCAGGCTTTAAAATGCAGCCCGTCTGTACCAGTATTGCAAATCCAAAGGAGTTGATTGGAACTTCCTATGCGCAGCAGGAAGTTGGGGGAATCTGCGTTTGGCAAGCTTAAGCGTGACGCTTAAGGCGCGACCGACAGATCGTCAGTGTTTTCCACTTTAATGGCCGTCTGTAATACCCAGCACAGTGCAGAAGGGCCAGCTCTCTGTGTGACTCCCTGGAATGGCATCTCCCTTTTAAGCAGTGTAGAGAGCCTCTTAGTTTGTTTGGCAAACCCCTCAAAGTGCAACTGTTACAGCAGAATATTGCGGCTTAAAATCACAGCCTTATAAATGTGTCATTTTCCATGTTTTGATGCTTAACTGATGCCTTGATAGAAAGCGTCAATCACCTCATGTTAAACCGTGGCGGGCGGGCGGGCGGGGGGGGGACTCTTGGGATGTGAACTTTGAGAATACGAGTGTGCATTTAACCGTCATACTAATGTCTGCCTCTAGATGTCAGTAAGATCTCCTGATCAGATTAATTAAATTCATTAAAAGTGCAAGCATTAATGGTTTTAGACATATTCCAATAAATACACCACACTCTGTTTTCCCACACTGTAATTTATCAACCCGCTTTGGCATTTGTGGAGGTCAAAACAGAGCTGTGAAAAAAGCAGAGTGTATTGTAGAGTGTATTGGCTTTCTTACAAAGTTAAAGAGGGAGCACCTGTGAGAAATGTTCCAAAAATGTTCTTTATTTCAAGCTGGATGCATGACAAGTTTAGCGGTTTGTGTTTTGTCCCCCCCACCCCACCCCCCCCTCAAAGATCCTAATCTCATTAATGAAAGTCTGCAATGGTTTTTGGCACCGGCTACTTCCAGAAGGCTCATGACGTGTGCTGGAAGTGCGGAGCCTTTCATAAGAATACCTGAGTGTGTCTGCCAGTCTTCTACTAGAGCTCTACACATACGAGTACTTTATGGCCAGGGTGTCAGGGATCGAGAGCCCGCGTGGGAGCTCCCCCGGGGATAGAACAAGGAAACATCTGTCAGGTAGAGAGATTTCTTCTCCAGTCTGCCCCCCTCCCCCCCCCCAAAAAAGTGCCTTTAGAAGTGTCAGGCCTCATACCTTGTGGAAAGGAAGACTGAACTAAGACTGCTGGGTGCATTAACACTGATTCATACTGTATGTAATCTAAAGGTAAAGTATTAAGCTGATTTATATGCAGGTATATGTAAAATGTCTTTGCTGTACTTTAATGCCGGGCAGTAAGAACATAGCATATTAATGCAATAATACAGGTGCTGTGAAAGTCTTCAGTACAGGTATTTTAGTGCAGGTATTTATTTAGTTGTTTCCATGGTCATATAAGACTAAGAGCAAAGGAACAGCCAACGGTCGAAAAGGCTGTGACATGCATATCTGTAAGTGGAGTGGTTGCACAGATAAGTCTGGCTTTGTTTGGGCTTAAGTGAGGGTAGCTGAGGCTGGAATCTAAGTGTACAGGTCACTGAGAGTGTGGAGTGAAGACGCCGTGAATGGCGCCGTGCTTTGTGCCTTGTGCAGCCAGCAGCTCTTTTTGCAGCTAACTTTATTAATAGGAAGAAGCGTGCTGTTGTGTGTCTGGGTACAGAGGACTCTCCGAAGCTAAGGGGCTGACATATAACGGTGACTAGGTGGCTCTGGCACTGCTTCAGACCCCCGGGGGCAGCCTTCAGCGCAGACAATGGGCTGCTGTGACTCTGGTATATTGGGAGCGCATCCGTCATGAGTCTAATAGTTTGGCTGGTGCTGCCAACTGCCAGCTAGTTATCGGCTGTGTTTTATACATCCTCGTGACATGGAAAAAATCATAATTTCTGAAAATCTGCTACAGATCAATCAATTAAAACCAGTGATTCCCCCCCCCCCCCCCCCCCCCCCCCGCCAAAAGAAATAACTTAATTACAGATTATTCCTTGGTTTAAGTAATGTTTATGATCTTTGTATCAGTGATGGATTTAATGTTAATCTTAAATTATGCGTATATATTATTGTTTAATTATGTGAGCTCTGTGGATTGAATGACTTTCAGATGAATTGTACTGGTTCGGTGCGTGCTTAAGCTGGCTGGGCTGATAGTGGTTTAATGGTATATTATGGGTAAGAACACTTGAGTCTGCTGTACTGCTTCAGCCCTGGGGATGTTGTTCAAATTATAGTAGCCAATATACACTTCATAAACATTGGTTTAAGTGAGGCTGAATGTTACCGCCAGGGCAGTTTAGGCAGGGTTCAGTCCTGGAATGTGGTATTTGTAATTCAGTGGTATAATTTGTGTACATTAGACATCTTGATTTCATTGCAAGCATTCAACACCTCGGACAGCAAGCGAGTGATTTGACCGCAGCTCTGACATGGTGTGCTTTGCAGGTACCACAGAGCGAGTGATTTGACCGCAGCACTGACATGGTGTGCTTTGCAGGTACCACAGAGCGAGTGATTTGACCGCAGCA